TGTTGCACAGAAGAAAAAGATTTCCCTGAAGAAACAAAAACCTAGGGCATAATTCAGTATAAAATAAATGTAGATAAAAGTAAAACAGAAAGAAGGAAGGAAGGAAGGCAGGGTTTAGTTGTACTCAGCACATAGCTGTCATCAGCGACAGCCTTCTGGGTCATGACCCAATCCTGACTATCTGGTAAGGTCTAAATGTTGGCCTCTCATGGGGCCTAACTGGAAAAAATAAATCAGCAAAGAAGGTTAAATATACCTTGTCCCTGTCCCCGCTCCTGTCTCTCTGCTTCCTGTCTACCGTGAGAACTAAGTAGATTCTCTGCTATGCATTCCTGCTACCATGATGTTCTCCCCAAAGCACATAAGGTCAGAAATATATGGACTAAATTCTCTGTAATAATACGCCAAAATATAGGTTCTCCTCTTTAAATGGAACCCTTTGGGCAAGCTACACTCAAACCACATCCAATCAACTACTTAATCAAACACTCAACAGCTCTCAATCCTCACTTCACTGTTTACATTCTCACAGTAGTACTCAATCCTACAAGCCCCGTCACTACCACCCAAAGAACTGAGTTAAACCAAATTTCAGATTCCCAAACTTTGGCCCTGACTTTGCTCCTTTCCAACATTAGTGAATCTCTGTCAAGGCCTGTGACAGTCAGTGTTGTCAACCTGACAGAACCTGGAATCTTCAGGAACACAGGCCTCTGAGTATGTCTGTGAGGGATGACAGTAAATGCTTAACTGAGGTGGGAATACTTTCTCACTATGGATGTGACCACATCCTAAACTGGATTCTAGGCTTCATAAACAGAGAAAGGGGTCTGAGCGGCAGCACAAATGCATATTCATCACTCTCTGCCTTCTGATTTTGAATGCTATATGAGCAGCTACTGTAAACTCTAGCCACCTAGATTTCTAACATGATGGATGAGGAACCAAATAAACCCTTTCTCCCTTGAGTTGCTTTTTCTAGAAACAGCAACAAGAGAACAAAGACAAGATATCCTATCCTTCCCTGCTTCAATAGCATATGGATGTGCCTAACTTTCCTCCAGAAGAATTATCTTAATTTCATACCATACAGCAAAGCAGCCTGCCCTCTGTCCTGGCAGAGGGACAATTTCTGCTCTTCTCGGTTATTATATCGCTTTCCTTGGAAAATAACCACTTAAGTAGTATCAGTACTCTGCTAAACAGATATGTAAAAACAAATCAGGAGCATAAGACATAAAAGAAATGTTTTCCAATAGTTATTATCCTAAAAAGCTAAAAAAAAAAAAAAAGCCTTAAAAAAACTCTAGATAATCAAATCAAGTTAATATTATACAATGAGGTGTTTCCAGCAATAGAAAAAGATTTAAGCAAAAATGTTTAATTTCATCTCACAAAAATTTGCATAAGCCACTTTAGTCACCATTTTGTAATGTTCCCATATACCAAACATTCAAAAGTAAAAACTTCTCTGCTTGAATCTTGTTTTTATACTTCTAAAATAGTATCTCAAACAAGATTTCTTAGTACTTGCTAGTACTCATCAAATAAACTGCTAATTCTAAATCCTACCATTATCAATATTTTTATATATTAAATTCTGAAGACCAAAATGACAGCATCTTAAGAAACGTTTAAAAACGTTTAAAGGTATGTTTCTAACATATTTGTGAAGAGGATTTTACTTAAATTCTATAAACTTTAAATAAATCTCATAAAATGTTTTGTGATTATGAAGCAAAATAATGGTTACATTTTTCTAGCTGCATATTCCAATACCAGCCTTTTTTTTTTATCTCTTTACAAAATAAGATCACATCTCAAATTATTTTTAAGTGCTCTATTTTATCTTAAAATTAGCTGGAAAGAAAATAAATTCAAACTGAGTTTGAAAAACATTAACACTTTGTCTCACCCCAAGTCGAACAGTGATTCTGGAGGGGAAGGGACAGTGATGAGAATGGCATTGTTTCAAGACAGCTGCACAATTAAAATCACAGCACCCCACCTATCTACATCTCCAGCCTTCCACTTACCCAAAAGGCAGTAAGGTCCCTTTATATAAAATGCTATGAGAGAAACCAGCTTCTACATTTGGTTAATATTGTTTCCACATGCTTTTGAAAACTTGTTTTCTCCTTCTTGCCCTGAGTATCTTAAAGAGTCTACAAATACAAGTGCTTTAATAAGGTCCAAGGAAGCCAGTGGTTGAGGGATAAATAGTAATACTTGATTAAAATCTACCTTTACAAAATATGAAAATCCAAAATAAAGTTTAAGACAAGCAATCATATATATAAGAATTCAAAATACATTTCAGGGAATATGTGTTTGTCCCAAATACTTATATAATAGTCTTTGGCAAATAACATCTATATTCCCACACACAAGTTTTCCTGCCTTTCTAGTATTAGCTTTGATATGAAGACCAATGAGATGGCTCAGCAGACAATGGCACTTCCCATTTAAGCCAGGCAACCTGAGTTTGAGCCCCTCAAAAAATAGAAGAGAAAACCAATTCCACAAAGCTTCTTCTGCCCTGCCTTCACATACACATCATAGCCCGCCTTTCTCCCCCAACAAATTATGCTAGGTAAGTGATTACCACATCATTCACCAAAAGCATATACCCAATACTGAAGAAATCACATCAATATAAAAGTATTGCTGACTCTGTACTGCATTTGTCTATGGAATAAATAATGATGAGTATCCTTTATTCACAATGCATGGGACCAGAAGTGTTTCAGGTTTCAGATTTTTTTAATTTTTCAGTTTTTGGAATTTTTTTCATAAACATAATGAGCTATCTTGGAAATAAAATGAGTCTAAATACAGAATTCATTTATGTCTTATACAGACCTTTAAATAGCACAAAGTTAATTATATTAATATTTTTAATATGTCTGTTTTTATTTGACCTGTCACATGAAGTGAGATGTGGAATTTTTCACTTACGCACTCATGCCAGTTTCAGATTTTGGAATACTGAATCTTAGATTCTCATGTTGGGGATGATCAAGCTGTATTCTACATCAAAAGAATCTCTAAAGTGCTCTGAGCTAAAACACTCTGCATATTTAAAACGTGGTCCTTGATGGGCCAGCAAGATGGCTGAGTGGGCAAAGGTGTCTGCTGCGAAGTCTGACAGGCTGAGTTCAAGCTGCAGGACCCACACAGTAAAACGAGAGCATCAGTTCCTCGAGGTGTCCTCTGACCTCTGCACTCCCACTGTGGCACAACTGGCACAAACATATACATGCATACACCCACTCTCTCGAAGGAAAAAGAAGAAACATTCTGTGATAATACGATATAACTAATACCATGTGTCTATGCAGACTCTATCAAAGTTACAAAACTCGTCTAAAAATATTCAGGGATGACAACAGTTTAAAGGGTCAGTGGCACTTAACTGTGCCCAGAATAATAGCAGGAACCTCTACCAAGCAACATCAGCATTCTCTGATTCAGAGCATTACATTTTCTCAAGGTCTTTTTTTTATATCTATAAAAAAAAAAATCCTTACAAACAGTCAAATAGCTTTTCAAGCTATTTTTGGGATCACTAATGTCCCCAAGTAGGCCTGTTTCATTCACTTTCATTTCAAATGTTCATTCAGGAAAATTAACTTTTCCATAGTAAATTTCTGTCCTCTTTAACTAAAATATTAAGATCAGAAAAATGTTTATAATGTATTTGACTTTTTTTAACTGTTAACTTTCGACTTATTCTACCTGTCTATATCTGATGTGCTCAAGAAAATAAAGAAACACTGCAAGTCCCACTACAGTCTACTTCTGCTTCTCTGGATGTGGCTTCTCTTAAAGAACACACAGACTGACCATAAACTGAAGGTCTCTCCCCCTACCCAACGTCTGTTAAATTTTCCTGATTTCCTTTTAATGACACTTTTAGTACCAGGTATGGTTGTACATGCTCCTAATCCTATCAATTAGAAGGTGGCAGGTCTGGTCAATACAGCAAATCCCTGTCTCAAAACAACAACAAAAAGGGGCTAGGCAAAGCCCTTGCCTCACACATACAAGCTACTAACCTCAACATGTAGCACTGGGGAGTCAGGGAAGATCTGTGAAAGAAACGCAACCCGGGCCACAAAAAAAGGTGACAGTTAAATAAATGTGGTCTCTTTTAATAACAAAAAGTTATTTTACTATAGAATGTGAAGTCATTTTTTTTAATGCACGACTCTAGAAGCTTTACATATCACCCCAAACTTGAAATAATCCAAATGTCCATCAACTAGTGAATAAACTGTGGTGAATCCACACAGCAGAAAACTACTACACAACTGAAAAGCAATTACCGATGTATGCAAGTTCATGAACAATACACAAATGTGTCATATTAAGTAAAAGAAGCAGACTTCAAAATCGAATACTAGATAATTCCATTTAAGCATAGTGGAAAAAGTAATCTATATGGACAGAAAACAGATCCACATTGGTGAAAGGATGTGGGCGGGAGGGTTAACTACAAAGGAACAACATGAATGAAGCGGAAAGCTTGTGAAACTATTTTAATTGTACTGATAAATATATATGCCAATACTCTAAGAATTAACATTAAAGGAAGAGATACTAATGTATGCTCACGTGTAGACAAGCTTTAAAAGAGTTAATAAAACACCAGAAGTTTCTTAAGAGTTTATTCTCATTACCAACTATGTCACACAACAACCTATGTTCAATAAAAAAAAAAAGTGTAGGTACCACTTGTTTTATCAAGTTCAAAACTTGAAAATCAAAGCCATTAAAAAAGTAACATGCTTATAAGTTTATGAAGAACAGACTATACTCAGGAGGCAGGCAGAAAATAGTTCCGAAATAACGCACAATTCAACTAATGCTTTGAACTAAAGCGGTCTTTCTACTCCACTGGTATATATGCATGGAGCTTTAAAAACAAAATCATCCATGTCTGAAAATATTCAAATGGAAACAGGAAAGTTCTACCCACAAAAAAAAAATGTACTGACCTGAATTTTCTCAGCTAATTAATAAAGATGGAAAGGATTTTATCTTGAATAAAAATACCACCAGGGCCATAGATAGCGTCAGTCAGTCCAGCAACCTGAAACAAAAGAAAGTAAATTAATTCACTCTCCTCAAATTTCATGTAACATCATTATACTTATTAATTTTTTTCATGTGGCAGTCATAACACGTAAATGTCTGTATTCTACATTATCTCATTCTGCAGCCCTAATTTTCCAAATGCTAAGGAACAGAGTTTCACTTTGCAAATTACATCCAAACTCAGTTGCACTCATTGTCTTAATTTGCTTCATATTCTATCCCATAACAAGTCAGCCCCCAATGATTCCTTCCCAGCCACAAACATCTCCTTCCAGTCTGTAATTTAAAATCTGCATCCCCAACAACCCAACTAGTTCTACATCTTTGTTTCTTCCTCCTACACAAATTTCCACTCAAACTAATCTAATCTGCTTGCTTTCCACAGAGCAATTTTATTATTCTCAGCTGTCACCATTCAATGAGCCTTCTTGGAGTATAAAAGACGACACTGTAAAATTTACTTTGTTGAGTGTTAAATAACTTCACACTCCTATAAATACTGTGTTTTTCAGAGGTGTATTCACATCATTTGGAAATTTCTTTTTGGGGTGCTGCTTTTAGTCTTTCTTTAGAGGGGTCATATGATCTAAGGTTTGTTCCACTGCTGAGCCATGAACCTTCTGAACACCTGCTTTTTTTTTTCACTTTTTGTCAATTAAACTATATAAGTCAGCTTTCTCAAGTTTCAACTTAAGAATTCTGTTCCACATTAATCTTTGCTAGACTATTTGCTGCCATATTCATAGATGTGCATTTCACATATATAGCATGTATATGCATATACATAATCGTATATAATCTTCTAATTAGGGAACCTACTTCTTTGCTGGTGGCTCTTCATCATCTATTACCATATATTTGACATATGGTAAGGAATCAGTATGATTCATAGACAAGCGAAATAGTTTTAATAACTACTCGCATATCAAATGTGCATATCACATATGCACAGTCACTGCACATTGATGTACAAGTCACTGAATAAAAAAACCCAATAACACTACATTTTGTGGCAATATGTTTCCCTCAGTTGCCCTACTATTGTGCTATGACATGTGATTATTCTTAAAATGACATTAATTGTGAGAAGTATTGACATTATTATCTGTAAGAAGTGGGTTTTTCCTCCAGTGACACCGAAGCCCACTGAAACCAATTTTTTGGCTAGTAGAACTGTACAATCCCAATCCCAATTGCTTTTACTATAATTTCCCAGAGTAAAATGTAAAGTTCTGAGAGATAATAGGCTATAAGAACAGTCAAGAAATTGCCCTAAACACAAAATCCTTTTGCATAGTGTACTGTTATTTATATTATCTCGTCTGGTAGAACAATTTGAAAAGGACAAACAATAATTCTCAAAAGACCATAAATGTGCAATTTATACATAAATACGAAATCTAAAATATCTCTAAATTCACTATAATTCTTTCTTAAAACTTCACCTAAAAGGTTTTTTGCCAACTTTCCACAGTAATTGAAGAATGTAGGACTTATGTCTATTGCCATTGTTAAATAACTGGTGATTTACCTTCTGATGGTAAACAACCGCAAAGATATAGATAGATAGATAGATAGATAGATAGATAGATAGATAGATAGATAGATA